GGCTAACATGTTTTTTTTTTTTTTGTCTTGCAGTTCAAGATTTTCTGGTCATGGCAGTGGGCACAGAGGCTGCTGTTCGGTGCAATCTGTATGGGGAATATATCCTCACTCCCCTGCCGGACTGCTTATTCCTGAAGGACATTCAGACTAAGAAAGTGCTATTCAAATGGCCGTACTGTTACGTAAGGAAGTTTGGACAAGACATGGTAAGCTGGGGCATTTTTAAAATACATTAATAAATATCCAAGGGTGCATTAAATTGATCCAAATTTAAAGATATGCCAACAATGTTACAAAAGATTTCTAATTCAAATAATGTATGTTCTTTTGAAATTCTATTCATCAGCCTATTCATATCATATTAGAATGACTTCTGAAAGATCATGCGATACCTGATCGTGTGAAGACTGAGTAATGGCTGCTGATAATTCAGAATGCCATCACAGGAATAAATTACTTAAAACATTTTTTTTTTAAGTCGTAATATCATTTCACAATTTTACAATTTTATCATAAATATTACATAAAAATAAGCTTTGGTGAGCACTTCTTTTATAAAAAGCCTTCTTTAAAATACTACTACTACTACTACTACTACTACTAATATACATGCAGACCCTCATGATTGTGTTAAGGTCAATAAGCCTTAAAATATCAAGATAATTTGCCCTTTTTTATGACAGTTAGTTTAGGTTGTATTGGAAATTACTTTTTCCTTAATGGTTACACCACATGACATTATAAATTCATTCAAATAAAAGTTATATTTCATAACCATCTGAAACCACCTTGAATAAAGATTCCCACTTGTTAGTGTTAGTGTAGCAGGTGTGAGGTTTCTTCTTTTAAACGCATTGAATTTCATTTGCATGCCCTTTCTCCTGGGAAATAAACAGCCTGTCTTTATTATCGCTCGAGTGATTGTGGACAAACATCTCTGCTCTGAAAATAGATTTCATAACTTTCCCTTCTCTTTTCTCTCCATCAGCTGTCTTTTTCCTTTGAGGCTGGTCGCAGATGTGAGTCCGGCGAGGGGAATTTCGAGTTTGCAACCCATCAGGGTGAAAGACTGTTCAATGTTGTCAGTGCAGCCATCCAGAATATACCCAGACCCTCCACAGCGAAACCAATCAGCCCTGACTATGTAGAACAAAGTATAGTTCAAGAAACCACGGGCATGGATGAAACGTACGATTACACCATAGGTAGTCAAGCATCTGACTTTTTACCTGAGGGGAAAATGCAGAACGTGCCTAATCATTCATCAAAAATGCTCAACCCCTTTTGGAGGAGCTTTTCTTTGAATGCAGTTGAGCCACAAAGTGAAAGTCAAGTGACGAGCATCGACACAGACCTTGAGAATCAGGAACCCATCTATGCCACTGTGTCAAAAGCTCAGCTGAAAGCCACTTCCCCTACAGACCCTAAAATGCACTGGCAAAACCTGAGAAAAGCTCTCCAGCAGTCTGTGTCTTTCCAAGACTCTTTCAAGACCGACGCTGACATTTCGCAGTTGTCTGATTTCGCGATCCCCCGGGAAGAGGGTGACTTGTTGGGTGATTCCATCCAGCAATTAGCAATTAATGACGCATTACAGGACATCAGTGCAGAAGCAATTTATGCAGATCCACAGGACTTCCAAGCCAGAGCTGAGTGGATTGTCAGTGCTACGTACGAAGAACCGGAGGAGGTCATCAAGGCTATTCAAAGATCTCATGATGGGGCAGAGCACCTAGCTGAGCATGACTCCTTCTACAGCCCTGACATGGGCGCTACACAGGCCATGGCTGCCCCCTCCAACACAGTCCAAAGTTCAGATGGTTTGTTCTTAACTTATGACAATTTCAGGTTGAAGGGACAGCGAATGTAACATAGCATGCTCATTCCACAATCAAAATCAAGGGGGAAATTACTAATAATTGTGTCAGTTGAAAGCAACATTTATTTGTATATGCTAATGTCTGTCATTAAAATATATATATACGGATAGTTGGACACACATTGTACTGTATTGCACTGTAATAAAATAAAGAAATAATAATATATAACTATACAAATTTAAATGTTAATCATATTAAATTGCATTGAACTGCATTACAAAATGTAACTATAATATAATTACAAAAAAATACATTATAAAAATAACATTTATAAATTAAAATATAAATTTTAGAACTATTATACAATATTCATATATTATACATACATTTTATATTATTATTTATATTTTATAATACAGTACAATATAATATAGTTCTATGTGTACAATATAATATAGTATTGTAATGTGTTACAAAAATGTATATAAAAACTAATTTACAGTACAATTTTCTATATATAAATTTTAGATTTTTTGTATATTTTATAATACAATACAATATAATATATTAATGTGTATGTATATATGTACAGTATATACAAATTGGGATGAACATTTAAAATGTACCTAATTGTGCTGTATTACAAAATATAATTATAATAAATATAATTACAAAATATATTATACATTTAAAAAATACATTTTATATTTTTATTAGGGCTGTCAATAGATTAACATTTTTAATCTAATTAATCACACCCTTTTTCTGTGATTAATCACAATTAATTGCACACTTCATGAAATTAAGCATAGACCATTTATCTTGTTTCAAATGTTTATTTTGTCATCATT